AAAATTTCGACCGTTGCTGTTTGTAGCTCTTTCAGCATCCCTTTTTCGTCGACCAGATTTGCTGCTGATCAAAGGTTTGCTGCAAGCTTTCGCCTTTCTGGATCCTTGGGCGTTTTGGTGTGGTTTAACCGGAAGAGTGTCTCTGCGAGGCCATGAGCGCTGGGTGGTGGCACCAAGAAAAAATGATTTTGGTGGTGCTCCCAAGAGGCTCGGTTTCGCGGAGGACTGCACCTTGAAGTCAGCCAGCAGTTTTCTAATATGGCGAGTTTTATATGGCTTTTTTGGCTGCAGCCGCTCTTCTTCCGTGTTTGTGTGCACACCCGATCCGCCAGCGATCAGCGTGGACAACTGGATGTACGAGGGATTTCCCGGATGGCTGTGGTCATGTTTGTGGCTTTGGGTGTCGGGGTACTGGGCGACGGTTGGGTCCACAAGCAGGGATGCAGCTTTTGACGGAGTGGAGCTAGAGATTGGCTTCGCTCCTTGTCCCCGCACATCTGACTCAGTCCAATCCACTCTCCTTTTTTTCATTTGCCCTTCTGGCAGACCAAGGCTATCGGAGGAGACCAACAAACCCAGTCCTAGATTCTTGGGTGAACCCTTGAATGCTGATGATCGATTCGTGAGTCTGATTAACCCACTGTTTGGTTGGAACCTTGAACTAAGATGAAGGTCATCCTGTCGGAGAAAGATGCGCAATGTTCGCTTGTGCACGCTTTCAGTGGTGTGCTCTGTTTTCCCACAGTCGTTTTTACTTTTCAGCTTCCCATGCAATCAAGTACGTCCGGGTTGCTTACTTTTCATTTCTTTACTTAGCCTACAACCCGTTGGGCAGCTTCAGAGCCCGTCTGATTCGCCTTACGAACCCGGACAATTGTTTCTCCACAAACATTTCGGATATCGCGGAGTTGTCTTGCAGTCTTGGCCTGCTAAACTCTTTGATCGAAATGTTTTATCTTTAAGAGCGACGTAAGTGTTAAGACCCCTTTTTCGCTAAGTTGCCCCTACTAGTAAGAACTTCATTCGACTTTTCATTGAGTGTTAAAACCTTGATTGTGCTGGGTTCCCATCCAGGCGGACACTCCATCCCTGGTTCGTTTCGCGTTTAGATCTAGTAACTTCTGGTTAATGTCTAGGGAACATAGCTATTGGGGCTCATTACATAGGTAGCCTACCAATTGATACCTACCCTGCAAATTACGACAAATATACCCCGGTAATTGTGGAAACTAGCTTGTAAACCGGTTTTCCGGCTGCTACTGTGAAACAGTCACGATGATGAAGGTGAGTAAGCACCAGTTGGTCGGCGGTGTGCATATAAGCTGCTAGGAATGTAGAGATTTGTGAAGCCCACAAATCTGTCATCCGTGCCCCGTGTCAATGGAAGCGTAAGTCCAATTTTCGACGTCTACAGCAATACAACTTTATCACCGTGCGCCCTTGTAGCAAACGGATGTTGGTGCAATGACAAGAACATCTATAGCAGGTTTCTTATCTTGGGCTGCTGGTTTTGGGGAGACGCCATGACGATGCTCGAAGCCACCCTCTTGTCAATCAAGTTTACACGGGGCTGTTCCAGCTTGCTGCGGTTAATTGAGTTTCAGGAACGCCTGTAGAAGGAAGCATCCGATGTTATTGACTACCACTGATGTGGCCGTCGTCGTAATGCGAGTTCCCTGTATCGCAGGCACGACGTGGAAACGGTCTGATGGGACACTCCGTGTTATCTCTGGTGTCTTCCTATGTTCGACTGATTCGGGCGGGGTTCTTGTATTACGTTCGAATGGATACCAGTTAGGAATCCATTTGGTAAATATTTATAGAATCCTTTTGAACCTGCAATAATAACAATAATCGTTCAGCTGTAACACCGTTTCTGTGGCTAGCTGTCGTGTCACTCAAAGGAAGCACGAAGGTTGAGATACTGCTGGGTTGCCCAAGCATACACAAAAGAATTCGAGGTGCAGAGGTCGGGTTCGAAACACGCAGTTTCCGGTCGGTTAATTTGCGCTCTAACCACCGAGCCATCTCGCTCTTTCTTTCCTCTGTGTTTGCCGCCAGTCTTTGTTAAGACTAGTGCCACACAGCTCAAATTTACGTCGTCAGCGCTTTCAAGCGCGACAGGGGGTATCGAGTTCCAGATAATGACACCGTGACAAAATGGGAGTGTTGGAAACCTTGCAAGCACTGTTTCCTATGAATAGATCGGCATTTCTTTCATCGGTCATCATACATAGTGACGAGTCAAAATCTCTGCTTGTTCGTCTGAGGGTGCTCCAGTCACCTTTAGCTCGGTAACATCATCGGGGACTAGTCTCAGGAATATCAAGGCTACTGCGCACCCCGTAATCCATCAATCAGACATAGTGTCAACTTACGTTCAACCATTCTAGGAAGCACAAACGAGGGTGATCGTAACATGGAGCGGTCTAGAGTAGTATCGTGCTATCTTCTGTGATAGAATTATGAAGGCAGCAAGAAACAGCGTAGAACCGAAGGCAAGGCTTCGCGGAACATTGCTGTGAACCATTCGTTGTGTCCACCTGTCTTCTTCGGCTCTGACGAAATTCCTACCCAACGAGAAAACCTGGGGTCTAACTGAGTGTTTACTCATGTACCACATGCTCAGCTTCCTTGACAATGTTTCGTGAGGAGCCTTGCTGAAATCAGTGAGCAGATGGGGTCATTTCGTCGCTTGTAAATCATGTGTAGCGTGGGACATCAGGAAGTCAGCGGTATTCGACGTTCGAGATGTAGTGACGGCACACGTCGGTTCTGAAATGTGCAGATATACTGACTGGTATTAATGATTCCACACGGTATACACAGCACACATGCGCACAGGTCGGGTGGAACAGGAAAGAAGAGTGGAGTGTGGCAACAACACACGCGTATTCCACCGAAACCGGAAGTCGGGGGTATGAAAGCTAGGTCAAGGTCAGTCAAGGGGGTGTACAAGCGGCTACTCTACCTGTCCGGGGCTCGTGGTGGTTCGACCATGGTACCTGCAATAGGGAGAGAGAGGGGGAGAGACACATAAGCTCATGTGATAGACGTGCATGCAGATACAGTCGAGTTTCAACTGCGTTACACATGTTCGAAGGGCACTTTAATTTCATCGGTTGCAGTCCTAGTCAGTAAAAAACAGGGCAGATGGCACTACTTAAATCTCCAAGAAATATCCCAGCCGGTCCCGAACGTAACCCGATGCGAAGAGCCATCAGACGTCAAGCGAAAGTGAGTTTGCGATCCGACCGTGAAGTATGGTGGACACAGAAAGCCAAAGAAATGGAAGAGGCCCAGGAAGCAGGTAATGCCCGGAGATTATTCCAGTTGCTCCGTGCGACCGGTCCCCGGAAACCACCTGTGAGTGAAAACATCAAGCATCAGAATGGAACGACCACCTC